CCTGTAAGTCCTGACATCCTATCAAATATGAGATTCATTCTGCAACAAAGTACTAATAGAAAGATCTAAACTTTGTTCAGCTGATAACACAACATGCAAATCATAAAATATCTTATGGCCTTGTCTGAAAATTTTATCATACCTTTAAGCAACACATGTTTGTTTTAATATGGTGGTCAATAGCAAATACATTTTAATTATGAGTACATACCTCAATGAATCTATCCAACGAAGCAATTTATTTCTTCTAACGTTAATTATAACAAAATTTACTTTCTTATTCATGCGCTTTCTTCACTTAATATACGCACATGATTGGTGACTCAGATATGCCGCATTATTATTAGAAATAAATAAAAAATTGCGATTATAAGAAGCAATAACCATCTTTAACAAGCACATAAGTTTGAATAAAACCTGTCAAAATACGAAATAAAACCTGTCAAACGCCATCTTGTTTGGAATCCTTGTTTGCACTTTTTCGCCACCCCGAGAAGTCATGGCGTTTTCACTGACATTTTTATGAGCTTGCCCGTTCCCTATACAAAGTACATTCAGCTACATTTGTTACAGTTATATATTATTTGACTGCGTGAGAAGGATCGCTATCCTGCGATAGCACCTTCTTAGATGTCATATTATATTTTGTAGTAAATCATTGCAGATTCTTTTTTTGAGACGCTTTGGTGATAAAGGCTTGAGCTAACACATTTGGATGACGACTTAGACGAGCTTAATAAAACACTTAATTTTTTTTATTACAATATTAACTTTGCGCAGGGTAAGAGTGCATCCATTAATCACGTGATCGATTTTTTAAGAATTTTTGGACCCCTCTCCCCTTTGGTGATATTCAAAATTAACCCTCCTTGAGGAAAAATTGTAAAATTTGATTTTTTTAATATGTTTGAATTTAAAAAAAAAATACACGTAATATCTTACTATACCTCTTCCTCCTTACTATACGCCCCCTAAGTTATTATATTCGTTCAATAATCGTAAATATTTTTTTTTGCATATCTTCACGTTTCAGAGGTTTCTGAACATTTTGGCTTGCTTTAGAAATCATGGATGCATGTGTGTGTGCGTGTGTATATGTGGATACAATTTTTTGTCGACAATTCCGGGAGCACGGATCAATCGATTTGAATGATTCAAAAAACATTCGATTCCTATTGATAGGGAGATTTGTCAATTAGTTTTTAGTAAAGGCAGGTCCGGCCGTTTCGGAGACAGAAAATAGAAATCGAGTTTTTGAGAGAACGGAGCATCGGTTTGATTTGATTTTGATTAAAAAAACATTCAATTTGTAACGATAGGGTGAAGTGGTTATTAGTTTTTTGCAAAGGCAGGTCCAGCGGTTTTGGAGATACTGAGCTAAATGTGCAATAAATGGCAGTTTTTGAGAAAACTAAGCGTCCGATTCAATTGATTCAAAGAACTTTCTGCTTGTCTTAACAAAATAATTGATTTTGGAAATAAAAATTGTTTCATTTTTTTTTTTTTTTAATTTTTTGTATATCGAAAATAACTCATATTTTATTTTTAATTCTGACTATAGTTCTAATATACTTTGAACAAATAATTTCAACTCTGCAATTCAGTTTATATAATTCTTATAAATATTAGACAATGTTACAATATTTATAATAATCTATTTGAAAACATTCAATATTCCTCGAACATTTCGTTACGGTACGGGAAGTTACAGCAATTTGCCTTAAGGCACGATGCCACCCACCCCACTAGTTATAGTCTGTTTCAAAACATTTCTCGAATATTTTCTTACGGTACGGGAAGTTCCAGCAATTTGCCTTGACGCACTATGCCACTAGTTTACTTCTCGTAGGATAAGTATAGTAATCGCAAAAAAATCGTTTAATAAAAATATCTTCATGTTTCAGAGGTTTCTGAACAATTTGGCAAACATTGATGTATGTGTATGTGTGTGCGTGACGATACAAATTTTCGTCGACGATTTCGGAAACACGGTTCAACCAATTTCAATTATTCAAAAAACATTTGATTCAAAAAACGCGCTTCGATATTTTGTCTCTATGCAGCTGAAGCAGTGGGATTACATTGAAAAAAAGTTCAAAATTTCCAAAATATTTCAAAATAAAAAATCATTTTTTTCCAAAATTTCTCAAAAAACTAGTTTTTTTTTAAGTTTAAAAATAAATTAATCTTTTTTAAAAAAAATAATTTTTGGTACGGGAAGTTCTAGTAATTTGCTTTAAGACTCGATGTCATACACCACTAGTTTCATCTGATTTTGTTTTTAGGGTATGATGGGAGACGTCAACACTTTCCTGAACAACTTGGTCTATTACGACAAAGAAAATATTCATCCGGATATCATCAAAGCTGTGCTGCCTTATTTAAAGGTACAATTTGATCATTGCATGCATTTGATAAAAATATACTTTAGGAGTAAATATTTTACTTATAATTTCTATTTCCCAGGACAAAGAATTCGATCCGGTGAAAATTCTTGCCAAGTCTGCTGCAGCAGCCGGTCTCTGCGCTTGGGTCATCAACATTTACAAATTCTACGAAGTTTTTGTACACGTCGAACCTAAAAGAAGGGCTCTTAATGCTGCCAATAAAGAGCTGCAGGACGCCAGGACTAAATTGGAGAAACTGACCAACCAGATTAATGTAAGAGATAGATTTATAAGAAACTAGATGACCCAACAGACGTTGTCCTGTACCCATGCCTACAATTTTTTTAATATGATATACTAATATTTTACCGTTCACCTAAAACTAATAATTATTGTTTTTTAAATTACTCTTCACGCCGAAATTGCATATACATTTATAATATGAGCGATGTTAAATGTAGAACTACTTTAAGTAAAATGATGAGTCTCAATTCTCACGCTATATTGGAAATTGAAGTCTTTTAAACGGTATAACATAACCATAACCATAACATAACACTGGTACTTCATGCTGGATTAAATTAATTTAATTTTTTATTATTTAAGATATCCAAAATTGCATATTAAACTTCTCCTGATCGATATCGTAAGGGCCGAATTGTATGTATTCATCCCATTTCCCATTTGCTGTTATAAAGTTAAATTTTTACGAGTTTTAAAAATATTGTGGTAAGATTAGTAAAAGATGCAAAGAAAATATATATTGAAAATTTAATATCCGAATCTTGTGTGGGCGCCTCCTAATGCGTGCACTCGTATTTTTCCCATGAATCGCATTAAAGGTAGGACCGGCCCTGATTATTTTTTAATTTCATATTTTATTAATTTGCCATATCCTGTTCATATGTGTATCATTCAATCTGCCAAAAATACACTATATTCAACTATATTTATATTATCTTATTAACTTATTTCCGTAGGGCAAAAAAATCGAAAATGAAAATTTTTATATATCTTTACGTTTCAGAGGTTTCTGAATATTTTGGCATACCTTAGAAAAAATGGATGTATGTGTGTGTGCGTGTGTGTATGTGTGTTCGGATACAATTTTACGTCGACGATTTCGGAAACACTGATCAAGCGATTTGAATAATTCGAAAAAAAATTCGATTCGTATTGATAAGGAGACGTGCTGATTAGTTTTCGGCGAAGGCAGATCTAGCCGTTCCGAAGATACGGGGCAAAAAGTGAAAACTGACCAAATTTTCATGAAGGCAGGTCTAGCGGTTTCGGAGATCTAATGAAAAAAGTAAAAAAAATGCCATTTGGCGGTCAAAAATGATCATTAGACATATGCACATCAAATTATCAGATATTTTATAGAGATTTTAACAATAAGCATAAATTTTGTTTGCATTCCTATGAGTACCAATGTTTATTCGTTAGATGGCGACGCGGCGCTTACGCGCTTTGACATTTTGTCTCTATGCAGTTAAAGCAGTACGATTGCTTTGAAAAAAGTTCAGAATTTCCAAAATATGTCAAAATAAAGAAAATATTTTTTTTTCAAGAAAAAAATTTTTTTTAAAAAAGGTAATTTTTTGTCAAATTCCTATCTTCTCAAAAATCTAATTTTTTTGAAGTAAAATTTTTTCAAAAATGTTAATCGTTTTTAAAAAAATAATAATATTTGGTACGGGAAGTTCCCGCAATTTGGCTTAAGGCTAGATGTCATGAGCCCCACTAGTTATTTTAATTTCTGGCACAACTCAGCTCCTTTTTAGCAATAATATTGCAGACATTTCATTTATCTCATTCATAATCATAAATTTATTATACATATTCTAATATTGTCTAGGTTCATTTTTAATGCAAACAATGACATATCGTTTTTTGGAAATTTTTTCATTTATTTCTACAATATTGCGCATACATCCCAGTACTTTATAATCACATACATCCTAGAAAATTTCCTTAACAAACTTCAGAAAGATTTATCATAATCCGAATAATCGTTTACGAGGAGTATACAGTGAGTGCTTGTAATTTAATATGAACTTTATATAATAGTAATAAAGCTCAAATTGATTCTACGTTTTAGTTAAAAAACTTTTGTATGAGAGGGCTGATTTTGGGGTTTTCCCGGAAATTATTCGATTTTGTCTCGCCGTAAGAACCATCCTTGGACTTGAACGAACATTTTAAAAAAAGAATTGACTAAATTAGTCCAGGAATTTGTCGAGTTATGCGTTTACCAACGCATTTTCCGATTCATTTTTATATATAAGATACTTCTTAAACAAGATGATAAATTATAAATTGTGTCCATTTGTATGACTATTACCTTTTCTAGTTCCTGGAAGAAAAATTGGTAGTTTTGACGATTTTGATATTTTGCGATTCATTTTTATATATAAGATACTTCTTAACCGAGATAATAAATTATAAATTGTGTTCATTTGTATGACTATTACCTTTTCTAGTTCCTGGAAGAAAAATTGGCAGTTTTGACGATTTTGACATTTTGCGATTCATTTTTATATATAAGATACTTCTTAACCAAGATAATAAATTATAAATTGTGTTCATTTCTATGACTATTACCTTTTTTAGTTCCTCGAAGAAAAATTGGCAGTTTTGACCAAAGAGTTTGATGAAGCGATGGGTGAAAAAATGAAATGCCAAGCCGAGGCTGATGCAACAGCATTTACTATCGATTTGGCCAACAGACTTGTTGGAGGTTTGGCTTCGGAAAATGTCAGATGGAGACAATCTGTCGAAGAGTAAGTGTTAACAAATATTTAGGAATGATAACTTTGACTGATTGGTTCTGTTTTTGTTTAGTTTGAAGATGATGAATATAACAATCCCTGGCGATATTTTACTGGTCAGCTGCTTTATATCGTACGTCGGATGCTTCACTCGTCGATATCGTGTCGATTTACAGGATAAATTTTGGATTCCTTACTTTGAAAAAATACAGGTAGGGTAAATAAAAAATAATATGCGAGGATTCAAGTAATTCAAATCGGTTTTAAGCTCAGCAAATTAATACATTCAGAGTCTTTTTTCCTCAGCCAAAAATTCCTAGAACCGGCGGCCTGGATCCTCTGGGTCTTTTGACAGACGATGCCCAGATTGCGTCCTGGTGCAATGAAGGTTTACCCAGCGATCGTATGAGCGCCGAGAACGCGACAATACTCACAAATTCTGCCAGGTGGCCACTCATGATCGATCCTCAGTTGTAAGTAAAAATAGGACACTAACATTATTAACTTCCCGAACGAGAAGTTTATGTTCTCATCAAAAAATCCGATTCGCTAATTTTATGTTTTCTCGACGTTTCAAGCCATTCTGAATCGAATGAGACCAACATTTGGAAAAAGTATGTGTGTGTGTGTGTATGTGTGTGTGTATGTGTGCGTGTATGTGAACAGATTTTTTGCCGTAAATCGACGTTTTCTCAAAAACGGCTGGACTGATTTCAAAAATTGAAAAGCCATTCGATGTATCTCGATGAGGACTAAGGTTTTTGAGTTTTGTGCGACAATCGGCCGGGCCGTTTCTTTGTAAATCGCAGAAAATTTTTTCGTCCACGTTTTAGCCCGCAATTCTGAATCGATTCTGAAAATTCAAAAACCGTTCGAAAGATATTGGTTGGGAATCGTGCTGATTAGTTTTTGGTAAAGATCGGCCGGGTAGGTTTCTTGTAATAAATTTAAAAAAAATAAATTCGACGATTTTTATGTTTTTTTTGACGATAGATATCATAGTCTTCTAGATCATACTAAAATATTACCGCCCCACGACAACTCGTTTAGCTTTAGAAATTCGTCAAAGTTTGCAAAAATCGGTATCGTTTTTTTGGCATTTGTCAAAATTAGACTTTTCATCGACGTTTGCTCAAAAACGCCTGAACCGATTTCAGAAAGTTAAAAGCCATTCGATGTATCTCAATGAGCCCTATAGTTTGTCAGTTTTGTGAGACGATCTGCCAAGCCGTTTCTTTGTAATTTGGAAAAAGTGTTAAACCATTTGTCCACATTTAAGCTCATACTACCGAATCGATTTTAAAAAATCAAAAACTGTTCGAAAGATATTAGTTGGGAATGACACTGATTAGTTTTAGGTGAAAATCTACCGAACCGTTTTCTTGTAATTATCTTTTGAAAAAAAAATTTAAGCCGATTTTTATGGAACTTTTTTTTGCGATATATATCATGGTCTTATAGAACTTACTGAAATATTACGGCCTTACGACAAGTAGTTTAATTTTAAAAAATCATCAAAATTTGAGAAAATAAGTAGTTCTTTCGATATTTGTTAAAATTAAAATTAGATGAATTACTTGGTATAACGTTAGAGTACTTGGTATTAATAAACCATTAAAGTCCTACGAAAACTGATTAAAATATAAAAATCGAAAATTTGCTTTAAGAAAATACTCTGAGTCAAAGTGTTTGTTCGTTTTCAATTATGTGTAATAAATCCACTCGGAATACTTCTAATCACTCATAAATTAATTTGTTTATTATTGATTAAGTCGATTATTTACACATATCGGGAAGTTTATGTAACTTGTCTCAAGGCTAAATACCAATACCAACTAGTTTAAATTTCCAGCAGTTTTCCTTAAAATCATATTGTAATTTAAGGCAAGGTTTGAAGTGGATAAAAACAAAATATGGGGCCGATTTGAAGATCATCCGTTTGTCTATGAAAAACTACCTTGATATTTTGGAACGGGCTATCAATAATGGAGACACTGTTCTTCTCGAAAATATTTTTGAGGTAAAAAATAGATACTACACTAATTTTCCATTTACCACTTGCTTTTATTATATATAATATATAATAATGTTTATGATATCTATTTTTCTTTTACAGACGGTGGACGCCGTCCTGAATCCACTTCTGGGCAGAATGCTGGTGAAGAAGGGACGTTGTGTTAAAATCGGCGACAAAGAAGTCGATTTCAATAAAAATTTCAGGCTGATCATGCAGACCAAGTTGGCAAATCCTCATTATAAACCCGAGATGCAGGCGCAGGCCACTCTTATCAACTTTACTGTCACCAGAGACGGGTGAGATAATTGAAATAAACAATTATCATGAATAATATTCTTATATATAAAAATGGATCGCAAAATGTGTTGGTAAGCGCATAACTCAACAACGCCTAGACCAATTTGGCCAATTCTTTAAATGTTTGTTGAAGTCCAAGCCTAGTTCTTACGGCGAGAAAAAATCGAATAATTGCCGGAGAAACCCTAAAAACAGCTCTTTTCATTTTCACATACAAACGTTTTCTAACTAAAACGTAGAATCGATTTGAGCTTTATTGCTATTATATACGGTTCATATCAAATTACAAGCACTCACTGTATACTCCTCCTAAACTATTATTCGGATTTTGATAAATCTTTCTGAAATTTGTTAAGGAATTTTTCTAGGATATATGTGATTATAAAGTACTGGGACGTATGTTCAATATTGTAGAAATAAATGGAAAAAATTGCAAAAAACGAAATGTCATTGTTTGCATTGAAAACGAATGAAAACTATCATTTGCCAAAAATTTCAATTTACTTAGGAACCTAGACAATATTAGAATTTGTATCAGTGGCGGATCCAGCTTTGGCGCCAGGGGGGTCACATAATTAAATTATGTATAGAACATATATTCGCAATACGATCAGAAAATCCTTAAATTTTAGGAGCCTTTGACTTCGTAACAAAATACATAAATAAAATCTTTATAAAGTAAATTTATTGCAGATTTAGTGTTTTATCTAAGTCTTAAGACAGGCTCAGGGGAGGTCATGACCCCCCTGACCCACCCTCTGGATCCGCCACTGATTTGTATAATAAATTTATGATTATGACTAAGAAAAATGAAATGCCTACATTATTGTTGACGAAAAGCAGCTGAGATGTGCCAGAAATTAAAATAATATAAAATACAGTATATGTATGGCAGATTGAATGATACACATATGAACAGGATATGACAAATTAATTTACTTAAAAAATGAATTTAAGTATTAATCAGGGTCGGCCCTACCTTTAATGCGATGCGTGCGAGAAATACAAGCGCACGCCTTAGGGGGCGCCAACACAAGATTCGGATATTAAATTTTCAATATAGTTTTTTTTTTCAATGTACAATTTCTTTGCATCTTTTACTAATCTTTGCACAATATTTTTAGAATATTTTAAAAATTTTATTTTAAAGACTTCAATTTCCAATATAGTGCGGAAATTGAGACTCATCATTTTATTTAAAGCAGTTCTACATTTAACATCGCTCATATTATAAATGTATATGCATTTTGGCGTGAAGAGTAATTTGAAAAACAATATATATTATTTTTAGATAAACGGTAAATATTAGCATATTATATTAAAAAATTGTAGATATGGGTACAGGACAACGTCTGTCGGGTCAGTATATAAATAAATTTGTATCTATTTCTTCTAGGTTGGAAGAGCAGCTTCTGGCCGAAGTCGTGAAGGCCGAACGTCCTGATCTGGAGGCCCTAAAATCTGATCTGACGACCCAGCAGAATTTGTTCAAGATTACATTGAAATTCTTAGAAGACGATCTATTATCTCGTCTTTCCAGCGCCGGTGCCAATGTCTTAGAAGATAGTGCTCTGGTCATTAATTTGGAAACAACAAAGAAAACCGCTGAAGAAATCGTCATCAAGGTCGAGGAGGCGAAAATTACATCGGCTAAGATTGATGAGGCTAGGGAACAGTACAGGTGAATAAATAATACATACATCAATCAAATGAAGATGATCTATTTTCTATATGTTATTAATTTTATAGACCAGCTGCTTGTCGTGCATCCATCCTTTACTTCATTCTGAATGAGTTGTACAAAATCAACATGATGTATCAGTTTTCTTTGAAAGCATTCAGGTTTGTTTTATTTATTTATTAAATTCCCGAAGGAAAAGTTTGTTTTTATAAAAAAATCCGATTCGCTAATTTTATGTTTTCTCGACGTTTCAAACCATTCTGAATGGAATGAGACCAAATTTGGAAAAAGTATGTGTGTGTGTGTATGCGTGTGTGTGAACAGATTTTTTGCTGTAAATCGACGTTTTCTCAAAAACGAATTCAAAAATTTAAAAGCCATTAGATGTATCTCGATGAGGACTATTGTTTGTCATTTTGTGCGACGATCTTTGAAAAATTTTTCGTCCACGTTTTAGCCCGCAATTTTGAAAATTCAAAAACCGTTCGAAAGATATTGGTTGGGAATCGTGCTGATTAGTTTTTGGTAAAGATCGGCCGGGTTTTCTTGTAATAAAGATTTAAAAAAAAAAAATTTCACATTTTTTATGATTTTTTTTTGACGGTAGATATCATAGTCTTCTAGATCATACTAAAATATTACCGCCCTACAACGACTCGTTTAGCTTTAAAAATTTGTCAAAGTTTGCAAAAATTGCTATCGTTTTTATGGCATTTGTCAAAATTAGACCTTTCATCGAAGTTTGCTCAAAAACGCCTGAACCGATTTCATAAATTTAAAAGCCATTCGATGTATCTCAATGAGCACTATAGTTTGTCAGTTTGGTGAGACGATCGGCCGAGCCGTTTCTTTGCAATTTGAAAAAGAGTGTTAAACCTTTCGTCCACATTTAAGCTCATACTACCGAACCGATTTTAAAAAATCAAAAACTGTTCGAAAGATATTAGTTGAGAATGATACTGATTAGTTTTAGGTGAAAATCTACCGAGCCGTTTTCTTGTAATTAACTATTGAAAAAAAAATTAAGCCGATTTTTATAGAATTTTTTTTAGCGATATATATCATGGTCTTATAGAACTTACTGAATTATTACGGCCTTACAAAAGTAGTTTAATTTTAAAAAGTCATCAAAATTTGAGAAAATGAGCAGTTTTTTTTGACGTTAGCTAAAATTAAAATTAGTTAAAAAGCAATAATAAGCCAGAAAGATCCCTTTGATTTTTATCTATATGCTTCTAACGTATCTTTTATTCTTTTTGAGATATAATGAAAATATAAAACAATATATATTTTTCCTAGAATACTTTATGTGATACCGATTTATTCAGATTTTCATTGACATAATTTTGTTTATTACATGATTTTCGTTAAAATATATATTTTAGGAGATATTTGCAAAAAAACGCCAAAAATATATGAATCTTTAGTGGCCAGTAACTTGAAAAGTATTAGTTTTTTTGAAAAACTATAAAAGACATTTTTTCTTATAATTAGTTCTTCTATCGATTTCCGACGTTATTTTGAAAAAATGTAATTACACAATTGAGAAGGGGTGTCATGTTATGGCGCAACCCGAATTGTTTTCACTTTTGAACTTGAGTGTAAGATGAACCTAATTCCAAAATTTCATTCAATTCGGAGCACAGTAAAAAAAATCAGAGGTTATACCCTTTTTTCTTCTCCGTTTACTGCACTAATAATAATTGTTGATTTTTGAAAATACTCCGAGTAAACGTGTTCATTCGTTTTCAATTATCTGTAATAAATCCACTCATAAATTAATTAATTTTTTATTGATTAAGTCAATTATTTACACATATCGGGAAGTTTATGTAACTTGCCTCAAGGCAAAATACCAATACCAACTAGTTTATTAAATATTTTCACTAGCAAATATTTGTAATATTTTTTTACCACAGTGTCGTGTTTCTGAGGGCTATCGCCAAAACACCACCAGCAGAGACTTTGGAGGAGAAAGTGGAAAATCTTTTGGAGTCCATCACCCATGCTGTGTACATGTACACAACCCGAGGACTTTTTGAACGTGATAAATTGACTTTTATGGCACAGGTCGTGATACAGGTAATAAAAATTGAAGCCATACTTTTATATTTGTTTTATTTATCAAGCCCTGCACATAGCTTGATCTATGAATCATTTTCTTTTTATGTGAACGTTAATGCAATGATCATCATCAATATTACGAGGTAATAAATAACCATATTATTAATGTCAACAGGCACATTTATAATTTGGCCAAACATTCCAAATTGTCCATTTGCATGTCGCAATCGTCTAATTTGCATGAAACACAACCTAGGTGAAATTAATCTTTCAAATACAGTATCTAGTTTAGGTAGATAATTTGGTATAGGTGGAAAAACAAACCCGTTAAATTTACACAATAGTGGGAATTTTACCCGAATTTATTGTCTTTCGACAAGTTTAACATCCAACTTGATTATTTGAATTAATATTCAGAAAACCATTATTAAGAATTTGTTTTTGAGCATCATTTGATATTTCTAAGTCACTTTGAAACCAAAGTCGATCACGCACAAAACATACATAGCCAAAGCTATCATTTGTAAATTGTTTTTCAAACAATTTTCGTGCATTCCTAAACAAATTGAAGGGTTTATATGGAAGTTCAAATACTTCATTTGACTCTTGCAAAAGATCTTGTCACATTATTAGTCACAATATATGCAGAATCATTAATTTGCAAATGACGTGATGTAGTTGCTGTATCAGAAAAAGTTACAGCAGTACTTTCATCTAAAAAGATAAGAGAATAATATGTTTAAATGTGAATAGTTGAAATGTTTTTCAGGAGTAAAATAGCGAAAAAAGATTTTTACTTATGTCAATGATTTTCTAATAAATTGACAGTAACCGATTATTTTCCTGCAGTTGTTTTCTTTGACTATGTAATCTTGATCTTTGTAAGTTTGTAAGAGGCTTTGAACCTACATCAATATTTATAATTACTATTATAGTGAATTAAAATTAGTCTACATAGCCATCATAAAAGAGAAACATGTAAACTTTCTCTAAATTTCCAATCAAGAATTATTGTTTTCACAATTTCACTTATCATGTAATTGTGTTCGTAGAACTTCATGTAATTGAAATTAACATACGTTTATTGACTACTTGTTTGTTTTGACTAGGGTTTGTCGGTTTTCAAAAGCCGGTTTTAAAAACCGGTTTTTTGGCGAAAATTATGGAATTCGAAAACCGTTTTCTTAGTGAAAAAAGTTGGTTTTCACTTTATAAATGGAAAATGACAAATATAGCCAAATATAAAAGATAGTTGAAAGCGTTTTGATTCTTGAAATCATATCGTTTCAATATCATTTGATATCTTATCAGTCTGCAATGGTTTCCAGTAAGGTTTTGTATATAATAATTTAGATTTTTATACCAGTGTATATATTAATTTAAATCAGTGTGACTTCTTCTTGAAGAAGTAACTTTCTCTACTCAAACTCAAAAAAGAGTTTTAATCCCTAGAAGCCACAAATTAAAGAACAAAAAACTTAGAATTATTATATCAGGCTTTAGAAACAACAACAAAGTATGAGAGTATTTTCTATTTCAGGAAATTTTGTGAGTAAACAAAGGACACGTCTAAGTAGCAATTCGATAGACATTCTCAATTTTTTTTAAATCATATTTTATTAAACAAAAAACAATTAGAATGTTTAAAATTAATTAATTAAAATTACTCGGAACAGAAATATAAGCTTAGCTTAATTGTTTTTAAAACTAAAATTGATATTAACAAGTATGTATCAACATGTATCAAACATTTTTTTATTTTTTTTATTTAATGAATTTTTTTATTTAAAAATGTATTATTTTTATTTATTCGAAAACTTTTCTTTCACTATCATAAAAATATTTTCATTCCTATATGTGAAAATGATGCATGAATAACGAATAATTATTTTCAAAGTATTTTTAATCAAGATGAACTATTATTTTTTAGTTCTACTAATTAAAATTAAAATAATTTTGTTTACTATCTATAAAATTGAACAATAAATAAATTAAGTCAAATACTATTCTAAATTACACTAAATTTGCGGATAAATTACAGAATATTCGAGCAAAAATTTATTTTCTATATAAAATTCGAAAACCGGTTAAAACCGGTTTTTTAGTAAAATTAAATTTCGAAAGCCGGTTTTCTGAAATGTCGGTTTTTGTAAAACCCTAGTTTTGACTATTTCGCTGGCGATACAGTTTCATTCTTTGAGCAACTGTAGCATATCTGTCTTGCCTATAAAAATATTTTCCGTTTTAGTAATAATCTCAAAGGTATAAAGTAACCTCGAAAATTTCGAATAATACAAATTTCTTCAATAAACTTACGTTTCTTACGCAGCGCAGATTTTTTATTTGTTTCATTATTTGCACTACAATTATTTATGGGGGACGGGATAAAATATTTTTCCGATCCAGACATTTTTTATACTATTATTCAATATTGACGACTTATACTATTATTTAACTTTAAAATGTTTTAACATAAAATCGGAAGATGAACAATATGCTTCACGCTTTCGGTGACGTACGCTCGTATAAAGTCACGCATCAGAATCGACCCGTATAGAAATGATCTCATCGAGAGCGAATGACGAATCATTGGCACTTGACCTTGCCGTAACAATTTCCGTTGCAAGAAGTTTTACTGCAATAAATAAATTATAACTGGTGACATGAACTGAAAATGCAAACAAATTCTGTTTTTTCCTGTAGATTGAATTGAATGCCAAGACTATCGAACCAGCAGAACTGGATTTCCTGCTAAGATTTCCAGCAGTTGCAACCGAGAGTGTACCTGTAGACTTTTTATCGAATTTACTTTGGGGAGGTGTTAAATTGTTATCGAACATGACAGAGTTTGCAAATTTGGACAAAGACATCGAGGGAGCTGCAAAGAGGTGATCTACAGACAACCTTAATATCATATTTTGAAACAGCAAAAATTTCAATTATTTTTTGCAGTAAATAAGCTCTATTCTATTTTTTATTATTTTTTTTTTAATTATTAATTTTATTTTCAGGTGGAAGAAGTTTGTGGAAAGCGAGGCACCAGAAAAGGAAAAATTGCCGCAGGAATGGAAAAACAAACAGCCCCTACAAAGACTTTGCATTATGAGGACTTTAAGACCTGACAGGATGTGCTATGCTACATCGTAATAAAATTTTTATTATTAATAAAAAACAATAACAAAAATCTTAGGGGCGTCCATTAATCACGTGATCGATTTTCTAATGATTTTTAGACCCCCCTCCCCCTTGTTGATACGTGTTGATATTAAAAATTACTACCCCGTTACGAGAAAAAATCGTAAATTTTTGATTTTTTTTAACTGTTTGAATTTTTTTAAAACAAATCCAGTAAAAAATAAATGTACGTGATATCTTACTATATCTAACCCTCCCCCAAAAACCTCTCGTGGTTAATGGATGCCCCCTTATATCGAAAAAGATAGTATAAACTTATGATGTATGCTTATTTGAAAATTTAAAATAGTTGATATTGGTATTTTGCCTTGAGGCAAGTTACATGAACTTCCCGATATGTGTAAATAATCGACTTAATCAATAAAAAATAATTTAATGTATGAGCCATTAAAAGTATTCCGAGTGGATTTATTACACATAATTGAAAACGAACGAACACGTTAACTCGGAGTATTTTCTTAAAGCAAATTTTCAATAATTTTTATAATTGAACCAGTTTCCTTAGGATTTTAATGGTTTATTATGTTTATTAAGACCAAGTACTCTATCGTTATACCGAGTAATTCATCTAATTTTAATTTTAACAAACGTCAAAAAAACTACTCATTTTCTTAAAATTTGGTGAATTTTTTAAATTAAACTACTTGTCGTTAAGGCGTAATATTTCAATAAATTGTATAAGACCGAGTTATATATCGCCAAAAAAGTTCCATAAAAATAGGCTTAATTTTTTTTTTTCAACAGTTAATTACAAGAAAACGGCTCCGTAGATTTTCACCTAAAACTAATCAGTATCATTCCCAACTAATATCTTTCGAACAGTTTCTGATTTTTCAAAATCGATTCGGTAGAATGAGCTTAAATGTGGACGAAAAGTTTAACACTTTTTTCCAAATTTCAAAGAAATGGCTCGGTCGATCGTCGCACAAAAGTGACAAGCGATAGTCCTCATCGAGATACATCAAATGGCTTTTAAATTTCTGAAATCGGTTCAGGCGTTTTGGAGAAAACGTCGATCAAAGGTCTAATTTTGACAAACGCCAAAAGAACGATACTAATTTTTGCAAACTTTGATGAATTTTTAAAGCTGAACCAGTTGTCGTAGGGCCGTAATATTTTAGTATGATCTAGAAGACTATGGTATCTACGTCAAAAAAATAATAATGAAAATCGTCGAAATTTTTTTTTTTTAAACTTCATTACAAGAAAACGGCCCCGCCGATCTTTACCAAAAACTAATCAGCACGATTCCCAGCCAATATCTTTCGAACGGTTTTTGAATTTTCAAAATCGATTAAGAATTGCTGGCTAATGGCTTGAAACGTCGAGAAAACATAAAATTAGCGAATCGGATTTTTTGATGAAAACATAAACTTCTCCTTCGGGAAGTTAAAAAATACATTAAATTTTTATTTGTAAATTTCTCACTTAAATTCTGAATATTATTATTATTTATAGTGGTTACATTGAGGAACGTCTTGGTCCAAAGTTTGTAGACGCTCGAACCTTGGACTTTCCAACATCGTATGAAGAAATGAGCAACATCACACCCATGTTTTTTATATTGTCACCTGGATCTAATCCCTTAAAGGCAAATAACTTTATACATACATATATATATACACCTAAGTCTGTTTTTACATGGTAGATTGGTTCCAGAAGAAGCCGCGTAAAAAAAAAAACGTGTAAAAAAAGACATTGATCTTATACAAAAATGGGTGATTTGTTCCTAATCTCTAAAACCTATTAAAATTAGTAAAAAACAAGAATTTTCAAGAACAAGAATTAAATTAGTGCTATTCACATTTGCTTTGACCAGTAAAAATTGTTTGTACGCGCTAAAGGGGAATTCACTTAAATCTTTAAGCTAGTGTTCGCAAACTATCGATACTATCGATGGTTTCAGACTTTTTTCTTTCATAAATACTTTTTTGTGATATGAACATACTTCGCAAAAATTAAATTTGACAAAAAAATTTAAGTACATAAAATTTCAAATCGTGCTAAATGGAATAAAATCGTGTAAAAAAATTAAAAATATTCAATTTTCAAACCGTGTACAAAAAGACCGTGTAAAAACAGATTTAGGTGTATATATATATATATATATATATATATATATATACATATGTATTCGATGCTAATAAATTGATTTATTATAATCCCTCTTCTTCTCAGGATGTTGAAAGTCATGGCAAAAAGCTGAAATTCATGACCGATTTACAAAATTTCCACGTTGTATCGTTGGGCCAGGGCCAGGAGGTGGTGGCAGAAAGTGCCATCGAGATTGGTGCCAAATTTGGACAGTGGGTTATGTTGCAGAATGTGCATTTGGTTGCCAAGTGGTTGCCAACGCTGGAGAAGAAGATGGAGCAGACGTTTGAGAAGAGCCACGAGAATTATAGGTAAATGGAAGAAAATGTTAAATTGTATGACTAACAGAATGAATAACAGTTTTTACTTCCTAATCGAGATTTTCTTTATTTATGAAATACATATTATTTTTGCTGACTATATTTTTTAATCAGGTTATACATCAGTGCAGAACCAGCTATGAGTGCTGAATACCACATACTTCCTCAAGGTGTACTAGAGTCATCGATAAAGGTTCTTTTTTTCTCATTCTAATTCCATAAATGGTTATACTTCATTAAAAACACTTTATTATTGATGTATCGTTATAAAACAACTGGCAACATTAGACCATTCATGTACGATTAATGATTAAATTTATATTTATATTTATACTGATGGAATTGTTTATTGCATATTGTTCAATATGCAAGGCTTTTTTATTTGAATTCGCAAATATATATTTAAAATGTATGTAATTTAGTTGTTATTATCCTTTTAGGTGACCAATGAAGCCCCCACGGGTATGTTTGCAAATTTACACAAGGCCCTGGACAATTTCAACCAGGAGACTCTGGAGATGTGCAGCAAAGAGGCCGAATTCAAGGCGATTTTATTCGCATTATGCTATTTTCATGCAGTTGTCTGCGAACGAGGAAAATTTGGAGCACAAGGATGGAACAGGTAAAAGATATTAAAATATTGTAATAATTTTTGAAAAAAAGATATAAATCACGAAATAAAAAATATATATCATCAGGGAGTATGAGCGATTGCGGCCTGGTGTTGCTTTTATTGGTGTTTATTGTAGTCTAATAAATATTTGTATGTTGACGGAATATCCGTGTTGTTTTATTGATTTATTAGTAAGTTAGCTTAAAATATAAATATTTTTATTTTTTTTTATTTTAGAAACTACCCTTTCAATGTCGGAGATTTGACGATCAGTGTGTACGTGTTGTATAATTATTTAGAAAATAATGCCAAAGTGCCATGGGAAGATCTACGATATTTATTCGGTGAGTAGTGGAAAGTAGTTTCATTAAATACTATAAAAGACAATCTGAACAGATTACAACTAATATATATATATATATATATATATATATATATATATATATATATATATATATATATAAAGCGAGAGGTTTTTCTTCAGATGGTGAAATATGATAAAATTGTTTCTTGAGCATCCATCCAGTAATCAAAAAACAGTTTTTTTGAAAAATGTTTTTATTCAGAGAACATACGTTTTGGGTCTTGATTTGACCCATCTTCTGTGCTACAATTAAATATTTCAGGGTTACAAATTAAAACAATATAAAAAATACATAATTTCAGACAAAAATAAATAAAACCATGTAAAAAAACACATAAATCTAACCAATTTAATAAATTAGTTTTAAAAACGAATGAATATTGTGAAAGAATATATGAAAAGTATATATGAAAAACAACCATAAAATAAACAAATGTAAAGAAACTCACCATATAACTAAATTTGAAAAATAACACAAAAACACACAAAATATTGCACGAAAAAATAAATATAAAGTAAAAAATTGATAATACGTCGAGTTATGATAAATTTAAAAAATTGTAAAATTAAAATAAATAATATATTTTATTATAAAAAAGCTTATTCCACATGAACATGTTGTCAGCTTGGAATATGTATGTAGTTTTTTGATTACTGGATGGATGCCCAAGAAACAATTTTATCATATATATATATATATATATATATATATATATATACATTGGTTAACATTAGTTACATTGGTGAAAGTTTCCAATATATATACAAGAGGGTAAATCAACATATATATAATTCTAGAAACCCAAATCAATTCAAAACGATGCTTTCAGAACATATGATAAACCTGAATCACACTTTTAACATGTCAAATCCTTCCATCCTAACATTGAAAAAAATTGTGATCTTAGAAAGATAGTTGAGTCTTTACTTATATCCCTGAATATATATATATATATTATTCATGAAAAGTAATTCTATACAGTTTTAGAATATTTTGTTCGTTATATTTCTTCTCTGTTTCTCTTTCCCCTTTTGTTTCTCACAACCCGCTCCCACTCCTTCACTACACTTGCTTTGTAACCTTGATCAGTGTCCACAATGCACCGCTATTAATAACACAAAATATAGGAGGGCGATATGTGCTCCTTCAATTTCTCGTTTGTTAATATAATAGTATATTATTATTTTACACAAATTTAGTGTTTAATCAATTTTACATCAGAATTAATTTTTTCTGTTGTTTTTCCTGGTTTGGTATGTATAATTTCCTCCTTTTTTATATATTTATATTTATCATCAACTTTGTATTTATGTCATATGTTTTTTAGATTACTGAATGATAACACATCAAGTGTCGAAACGTTTTAATGGAATAAATAATTTTGTTATTTAATCTTTTTTAATTCGACGATTGGGCTGCAAAAATACAGGCTAAACAACAAAAAATTGATTATGATGTCTATTCATAAATTTTATTTTTATTATCCCAGGTGAAATAATGTATGGTGGACACATCACAGACGACTGGGACAGACGTCTGGCTCGAACCTACCTTTTGGAATTTATGCAGCCCGAATTGACCGAAGGCGAACTGAATTTTGCTGTTGGATTCCGTGCACCACCCAACACCGATTACAAGTAAATGATTTAGGGACGGATTCTGCCGCACAATAGAAAATGTTATGGCAAGGCCATGTTATGCTCCAACTTGCATACATTATAGTAATGAATCATACTGAATACTGTCGAAATATTATGTATTTGCTCTTCATTTGGGCGTTTTTCACATAAACTGCAAAATCACTCGTATGTTATGAAGCCGAGTCAGAAAGACCCTGCTATCTAACATCGTTTTTTGACATTTGTGCAGTTTCTAGATTATGTTTTCTATCTGACAACCTGAGAAATACACTTGCTTGCTCAGCAACCACATGGCTTTTGTCAATATTTATTTTTATTGGAAAGTTCTTCATAACATGGCCTTGCCATAACATTTTTCTGTTATGCGGCAGAATCGGTCCCTTAATTTTTTTTCTTTTTTTTTACAGAGGTTACCACGAATACATTGATGATGCCCTTCCGCCTGAATCACCATACTTATATGGTTTGCACCCGAATGCAGAAATTGGGTTCTTGAGCACAAAGTCTGAGAAAATGTTCAAAACTATATTTGAATTGCAACCGAGGGATTCTGGAGGCGGTGAGGCTGGTGGAGTATCCAAGGAGGAAAAGGTAATAAATACATGCGATACTTTGGTATTAATAATTTATATTAACCATTTCTTTCCTTTAGGTGAAGACTGTGATAGAAGACATAATGGACAAGATACCAGACGAGTTCAATATTCAGGAACTGATGAGCAAGGCTGAAGATTTAACTCCGTATGTTATTGTAGCTTTCCAGGAATGTGAACGAATGAACATACTGATGGGAGAAATCAGACGCAGTCTTGTGGAACTGGAATTGGGTTTGAAGGGCGAGTTGACTATAACTAAAGACATGGAGGATTTGATGGAATGCTTGTCCTTTGATGAGGTTCCTGCCAGCTGGACCAAACGAGCATATCCGAGTATGCTCATGTTGGGAGGATGGTTTGCAGATTTGCTACTTAGGCTGAAAGAACTAGAGGTAAAATGATAATGGTCAATATTATAATAGAATCATTTTACTTAATTCTTCACTTATTTCTCTTTTCAAGAGTTATCTTCATAATCATAAACAGTTTGTCTATCTTAATGGATTCTTTAGCAACATTGAAAATATAAGTTCAGGTGTTCCTCAGGGATCCATTCTTGGTCCACTACTATTTATCATTTTTATTAATGACATTTCTGATATTATTAGCTGTTCACATTTATTATTTGCAGATGATCTCGAACTATATCTCAAAATAAATTCTATTGATGACTGCTTATTATTACAGTCTCAACTTGACTCTTTCCACTCTTGGTGTGTCTATTTCAAATTACATTTAAATATATCAAAGTGTAAAATTCTTAGTTTTTCACATAAGCGCGTTTCAATACATTTTGAATATGAAATTGCTAACACGAGCATTTATAGATGTAATAAAATTTCAGATTTAGGAGTTTTATTTGATTCTGGTTTGTTTTTCACGGATCATATAACTGATATTTGTAATGGAGCACATAAATCTTTAGGTTTGATATTGAGAAATTGAAAAGAATTCAATTCTAACAACGCACTTCTTTGCATGTACTATTCTTTTGTACTTTCAAAATTAGAATATGGTTCGATTTTTTGGTATCCTCATCAAATCAACAACTCTGATGCGATAGAGAAGGTTCAGCGAAAATTTCTGAGATATCTTTATTATAAAACATATAAAATTTACCCTGAACGCATACACTTTACTAAAAGAATTTGGTATTCCTTCCCTTGCCTCAAGTCGATTTATCTGTACAATTATGTTCTTATTTAAATTTTACAATAATTCTATAGACTGTCCTCTTATTCTTAACCAACTATCCTTTAATGTTTCAAGGCTATCTACAATTATTTCTCAATTATCATACTCCTAAATCTAATTCTCTCTTAAATTCGCCCATTTTACTTATGTCCTCTAACTTTAACTTAATAATGAAATAGATATTCACAACAGTTCACCTAATCAAGTAATCTCCATCTGCACAAGTTAACCTTTTATTTTCTTTTCAAATATCTCATTATTTTATCTTATTCTGTTTATAAATAATATTGTTACATTCTGCATTATATGTAATTTTATGTTGAGCATTTTATGTTACTAACTATATATTGTATATTTGTATATATTTTAATTGTTATTCATTATGTACAATAATTATATTTTTGAGTCCTCTTGGAAGAAATCTGTGGGCTATATATTTAAAATAAATAAATAGGTATTTTTTCTAAACAGGGTTGGGCTTCTGATCTAAATCTACCATCGGCAGTCTGGTTGTCTGGTTTTTTCAATCCACAATCATTCCTGACAGCAATTATGCAGCAGACAGCCAGGAAGAACGAGTGGCCTCTGGATAAAATGTGTCTGAATTGTGATGTCACTAAGAAGCAGAGAGAGGAATTCACGTAAATAAATTTGACACAAACAATCAATTTTGGATTTAATTGATCTTTTATATTTATTAACTTCCCGAAGGAAAAGTTTATGTTTTCATCAAAAATTCCGATTCGCTAATTTTATGTTTTCTCGACGTTTCAAGCCATTCTGAATCGAATGAGACCAAATTTGAAAAAAGTATGTGTGTGTGTGTGTGTGTGTGTGTATGTGAACAGATTTTTTGCCGTAAATCGACGTTTTCTCGAAAACGACTGGGCCGATTTAAAAATTTAAAAGCCATTCGATGTATCTCGACGAGGACTAGCGTTTCTTAGTCTTGTGCGACGATCGGCCAAGACGTTTCTGTATAAATCGCAGAAAAGTGAAAAAAATTTCGTCTACGTTTTGCCCGCAATTCTGAACCGATTAAGAAAATTCAATAACCCTTCGAAAGATATTGATTGGGAATCGTGCTGATTAGTTTTTGGTAAAGATCGGCCGGGCCGTTTTCTTGTAATAAAATTAAAAAAAAAAAATTTTCGGCGATTTTTGTTATTATTTTTTTGACGGTAGATGCCATAGTCTTCTAGATCATACTAAAATATTACGGCCCTACGACAATTGGTTTAACTTTGAAAATTCGTCAAAGTTTGCAAAAATTAGTATGGTCTTTTCGGCATTTGTCAAACTTAGAACTTTCATCGACGTTTGCTCAAAAACGCCTGAACCGATTTCAGAAATTCAACAGCCATTTGTTGTATTTCGATGAGGACTATCGTTTATCAGTTTTGTGCGACGATCGGCCGAGCCGTTTTTTTGAAATTTGGAAAAAAGTGTTAAACTTTTCGTCTACATTTAAGCTCATCCTACCGAACCGATTTTAAAAAATCAAAAACTGTTCGAAAGATATTAGTTGGGAATAATACTGATCTAAATCTACCAAGCCGTTTTCTTGTAATTAACTGTTGAAAATGAAATTTAAGCCGATTTTTATGGATTTTTTTTTTTAGCGATATATATCATGGTCTTATAGAACTTACTGTAATATTACGGCCTTACGACAAGTAGTTAAATTTTAAAAAATCATCAAAGTTTGCGAAAATGAGTAGTTTTTTTGACTTTTGTTAAAATTAACACTTTCCACTCGGGAGTCGGACTGCTAGTCGGTACGCTGCACTCGGAATATTATTGTGCTATACATATCTCTCAACTCGGATTTTTTTTTTGTATCGGATTTTTTCAAAATGTGGTAATACTGGTTTTAAATATAGTTATTATGATAATAAAATAAAAAAAATTAAAAATAAATAAATGCGCTCAAAACCATACTATAATGTTTAAAAAATAATTTCTTCTATTATAATGGCTTACAAAATAATAAATCCTGGTAGACAAGGAAACAAAAATTAAATTTAATATGTTACCAAAATTATTACCATTATAATATATAATATATACATATATATATATATATATATATATATATATATATATATATCATCTCCAGTAAAACTTATATCTCAAAAAATTATGGGGTTCATGAGCTAATAAATTAATTTTGTTACATATTTATTATTAAAATTAATAAATTAATCAATAAATTAATGTAATAGTGAATTAATTTCAAAAGAATTAAAAAAAAATTAAATATTTTAAGTTTGCGACGAGACGATTTGCCGCCGGAGCGGCGGCATCCGAGTCGAAAGGGTTAAAATTAGACGATTGACTCACTTGGTATAACGATAGAGTACTTGGTCTTAATATGAACATACTAAATTATTAAATTCCTACAAAAAACTGGTTCAATTATAAAAATTGGTGATTTTTGAAAATTTGCTTTTATAAAATACTCCGAGTTAACGTGTTTGTTCGTTTTCAATCATGTGTAATAAATCCACTCGGAATACTTTTAATTACTCATAAATGAATTTATTTTTTATTGATTAAGTCGATTATTTACACATATCGGAAAGTTCATGTAACTTGCCTCAAGGCTAAATACCAAACCAACTAGTTATTTTTTTATTTTAGCTCAGCCCCTCGAGAAGGTGCCTATATCCACGGTTTATACATGGAAGGCGCTCGATGGGACACATCTGTAAACGGCATAGTTGATGCTAAAATGAAAGATTTATTCCCGTTGATGCCAGTGGTTTATGTTAAAGCCATCACTCAAGATAAACAGGTAATATTTAGAAACCCAGTTATAATTTTGATTAAAATTTAATCTATTACCACTGTTTTTTATTAGGAAACCAGAAACGTCTACGAGTGTCCTTTATACAAAACCCGAGAAAGAGGACCCACATACGTCTGGACTTTTAATTTAAAGACGAAAGAGAAGCCTACAAAATGGACAATGGGAGGTGTTGCTTTGCTATTGCAGATATGAAAGTATTCTTGCACGATTGGGATTTATTTTGGAACAGAATTTGTCCTTTGGACTAGGATTCAACACTCATCTTCTTGCAAGTACAGAAATTTTGATATTTTGTAATGCATGGTGTGTTTGTTCTGTTTGTATGATTAACAATGTGAGACTGATCTGTAAAAGATTTTATAATAGACGATGAATGCATGTGTGTATTTTTTATTATTGATGATAGAATTATATTAGAGATATTAATTAGTTATTAACTTCCCGCAAGGGTGAGTTATAGCAATCGCAAAAAAATCTAAAATGAAAATTTTTATATATCCTTACGTTTCAAGGGTTTCTGAATACTTTGGCATACCTTATTGTTAGTGTTTTTTTTTAACTTCCCGTAGGATAAGTTATTGTAATGGGCCTAAAATCGGAATTGAAAATTTTTACATTTCTCGACGTTTTGAAGGTTTCTGAACGTTTTGGCATACTTCAGAAAAAATGGATGTGTGTGTGTATGCCTGTATGTATGTACGGATACAATTTTTCGTCCACGTTTTCGGGTATACGGATCAACCGATTTGAATGGTTCAAAAAACATTCGATTCCTATTGATAAGGAGATGTGCTGATTAGTTTTTGGCAAAGGCAGGTCCAGCAGTTACGGAGATAAAGAGCCGAGTGCAGAAAATAGAAATCGAGTTTTTGAGAGAACGGAGCATCCCATTTGAATGATCTAAAAAATATTCAATTAGTAATGATTGGGAGAAGGGGTTATTAGTTTTTAGCAAAGCAGGCCCAGCCATTTCGAAGATACGCAGCTAAATTTACAAAAAATGGTAGATTTAGAGAGAACTAAGCGTCCGATTTAATTGATTCAAAGAACTTTCTGCTTGTCTTAACAAAATAATTGATTTTGGAAAAAAAATTGTTTTTTCAACTTTTTTTTTAATTTTTTGTATATCGAAAATAATTCAGATTTTATTTTCAATTCTGACTATAGTTCTAATATACTTTAAACAAATAATTTCAACTCTGCAATTCAGTTTATATAATTCTTATAAATATTAGACAATGGTACAATATTTATAATAATCTATTTGAAAACATTCAGTATTCCTCGAACATTTTGTTACGGTACGGGAAGTTCCAGCAATTTGCCTTAAGGCACAATGCCACCCACCCCACTAGTTGAATGTTTGATTGGTTTGATTTTTGAAGGACCAATTTGTCATAAAACATTTTAAAAACAACGTTTAATGTTTTAAGTATCATATTGATTGACTTTATTTATTTTATGATGATTTTTTGATTGTTATTTTGTTTTCATTTCATAAATCTGATGCTTTGATTTAGCGTGAACATATGTTTTCTATATCACAATGCCATTACACTACTAGTTTTTTTCTTTACTTTATAAAATTCATTTCCTAAAGTGATTTTATTAGGAATTAAAAAAACATTTCAAAAGATATCGTTTGTAAATCGTTCTGATTAATTTTTTGTAAATATAGGCTAGATCGTTTTTTTTGTAATGGTTAAGATTTTATCTATATAGTTTACGGTTTAAAACGTACATCCTAAAATATTATGTTATTATATAGGCCTACGGAACGTGGTTTAAATATCTACTGAAAATTTATTGTGCAAATCTTAGCACAGACGCAAACCACTAAAGTTAAAGTTGTTATACTAATATTCATTTTTGTTATTACTGCTTATAAAATATTAAATTAATTACGTATACATATATTTAAAATTTGAAATGAAATGAATTTTACTGGAATTTAATTATTTTATAAACTCACCTTTCTTAAATTTTATTTTCCTGGAATTTAATCTTTCTGTTTTTTTTTGAAAATTTATTAATATTATTAATTAATTTAATAATTCAATAATTGTTGATTATTATATTGTTGATAAATCTGGATCGTTTTATTTTTTCTGGAAGATAATTTTTGTGGAATATATATTTTTTCTGGAATATAATTTGTCTAGAATTTTGTTTTTCTACCCACTTTTGTTTTTCTAACCATCAGATCGTTTTAATTTTTGGAGAATATAATTTTGCTGGAATTTAGCTTTTTTTTCAATTCACCTTTTTTACAGTTTAGAGTTAGTTTTTCTAGATTTTAGATAATCCTAGATTTTAGAGTTTAGATAATCCCAGATTTTATAGTTCAGATAATCTTAGATTTCATATTTAAGATAAACCTATTCATAAATTTAATTTTATTTTATTTGATAAATTAAAGTCTAAGTACTTTCAATGGCGTGATCGATTCAAAGTCCAATTTAATATTAATATAATTTTTGTAAATAAATAAATAATAAAAATAGCGATAAATGAGATAGCCTCTTGACTTTTGATAAAAACAAAGTTTAAAATAAATGATGACTTTGTGTTAATTCAAGAGAGATAAATTACAAGTTGTCGAGACGCGTAATATTAATTTTTTTTATTAATAATCATATTAATTATAAAGAGAAAAATTTTCTAATGGCGTTACAATTTTTTTTTAAGTTTTGTCTTTAGACAAATTGCTCGAATTTTTAATTATATAAACAAATGTAAAACAAATAGTAATTATCACCTATTCATAAATTTAATTTTATTTAATTTTATTTGATAAATTAAAGTCTTAAGTCCTTATGATAAGGATAATAATTTCAATGGCGTGATCGATTCAAAGTCCAATTTAATATTAATATAATTTTTGTAAATAAATAAATAATAAAAATAGCGATAAATGAGATAGCCTCTTGACTTTTGATAAAAACAAAGTTTAAAATAAATGATGACTCTGTATTAATTCAAGAGATAAATTACAAGTTCTCGAGACGCTTGTTAGTAAAATTAATTTTTTATTAATAATATAGTAAAGCATATACCGATGATGGTGCATTTTTTTATATTATAAATAAATATCCTAAACGAACTAAGTTTTGTGTATTTAGGCAAATTGGTGGTACTTTCAATTTTATAAACAAATGTAAAAGACTTATCGAGTCTACTATATCTAACTTTTTTTTCAACTAGTTTAAATCGTGTAATAAAATTATTTTCCGTTATTAACCGGAAGAATTTTACTTTCAAATAAATAAAGATAATATTCAGTAGATTTTTTATAGCATTTTCAAAAAAAAAAATTACTGAAGGCGGGCGATCTTGCATAAGATAATTTAAAAAGAGGACTCTACTGACAAACAAATTATCAAACTAAAAAAATAAAATAAGACTCTACTGACGAGTAAATTATCAAATTTTACAACTACATAAACAAAACAGTAGTCTTATATTATTTGAAACGCAAAATTTATACATACTTTTACTTTGAGACGTCGCAAAGTTTCTGCAACTTGCCAAGAGGCAAAATGATACTTTTAGTTTCCGATTTTATCAAAAAATAATTAAAAAATCTGATCACGATGGAATTTTGCGTTTGCTTTGAAACAATTGTGGCCATGAAACAGATTATCGGTTAATAAAAATCTTGTGCCAAATATTTATGCAAATAGAGTAAAAATTACAATAAGTAGACATTATATATATATATATATATATATATATATATATATAATTTTTTGGTTATAGCATATGCAATTATTTTATAACCATTTTAATTACAATAAAGAAATGTTTCGGTTGAATTCGAAATAAATCATGAAGTGATCACAAAGATCGAGTGTCGATACGTCATTTGTTTATTTTGCTATTTATGTGCACATTCAATAGGAGAGACGGGGGTTAAATGTCACACTTTGATGATTGAAAACTTGAGTTATAATTATTTTCATCACAAAACATTTTTGTTTTAAATCTTGGATTTAAATACCACCCGAAATGTTTTCAGAGAAAAAGTTTATATCTTCTCCTTATGATTGCAAGGTCAGAAATTGAAAGTTAAAATTGATAATTAAAAAACATTAGATTTTTTTAAAAGCTTTGAAGAAATTACATTTTTGAGAATTTTGAAATTTTTGAAAAAAATTGACTTGAATTGAACTTGAAAAATTCGATTTTTTTCGTATATTTCCAAATACTTTGGAAGTTTGAACTTTTTATCTTCCCGTAGGGTAAGTTATAGTAATTGCAAAAAAATCTAAAATAAAAAATTTTATATATCTTTACGTTTCAGAGGTTTCTGAACATTTTGACATACCTTAGAAAAAAATGATGTGTGTGTATGTGTGGATACAATTTTTCGTCGACGATTTTGGGAACACGGATCAACCGATTTGAATAATTAAAAAACATTCAATTCGTATTGATAAGGAAGTAGACATGCTGATTAGTTTTTGGCAAAGGCAGGTCTAACCGTTTTGAAGATACGGGGCAAAAGAAGCCAAAAATGGTAATTCACTTTTTGAGAGAACGGACCGTTTTAACAATTTAACCGATTTTAACAATTCAAAAAACATTTTTCTTGTATTGATGAAATGAAAAATTGATTAAATTTTTAGGAAGGCAGGTCTAGCTGTTCCGGAGATCTAATGAAAAAAAAGTGAAAAAATGCCATTTGGCTGACAAAAATTATCCTTAGACACATGTACATCAAATTATCACATATTTTATAGATATTTCACTAATAAGAACAAATTTTGCTTACATTTCTATGGGTTCCGTACTAATGTTTATACATTATACTGCGACGCGGCGCCCACGCGCTTTCATATTTCGTTTGTACGCAGCTAACGTATCGCAAAATATTTCAAAGTATAAGAAAAAAAATTTTTCAAAAAGGTCAATTTTCTTCAAATTTTTGTTTTTTAAATTTTTTTAAAAATTTCATTTTTATTTCAATGTTCTAAAAAATTGAATCTTTCTTAAATAATTTTAATTTTTGGTATGAAAAGTTCTAGCAAATTGCCTTAAGGCACGACGCCATGCACCACTAGTTTTTCAAAAAATTTCAAAGCAATTTTAAATTACGGTTCAGGAAGTTTCAACAATTTGTTTAAAACTAACTTAACAAGTTGTCGAAACTATGTACTTACTGTTCGGAGATTAAGATAGAAATGTCACAT